CTGCAGCCTTGAATTCCTGGGCTCAAGCAATCCTCCTGCCTCAGCCTCCAAGTAGCTGGGACTACAGGCGTGTGCCACCATGTCCAGCTGATAATCTTTTGGTTTTCTGTGGTGTCAGTTGTAATGTCTCCTTTTTTATTTCTGATTTTGTTTATTTGGGTCTTTTTTTTTTCTTAGTCTAGCAAGTGGTTTATCAATTTTATTTGCCTTTTCAAAAAACCAACTTTTCATTTCCTTGATCTGTTGTATTATTTTTTCAGTCTCTATATCAGTTCTCTGCTCTGATCTTTATTATTTCTTTCCTTCTACAATTTTGGGTTTGGTTTCTTGCTTTTCTAGTTCCTTGAGATGTATTGTTAGATAGTTTATTTGAAATCATTTGACTTTTTTGATGTAGGCATTTTTTGCTATAAAATCCCCTCTTCGTACTGCTTTTACTATATCTGATATGTTTTGGTATGTTGTGTTTTGATTTTCATCTGTCTCAAGAATTTTTTTTTTATTTCCTCCTTAATTTCTTCATTAACCCAATAGTCATTCAGAAGCATGTTGTTTTATTTCCATGTGTTCCCAAAGTTCCTCTTCTTATTGATTTCTAGTTTTACTCCATTGTGGTCTGAAAAGATACTTGACATGATTTCAATTTTTTAAAATTTGTTGAGACTTGTTTTATATCTTAACATATGGTCTATCCTGGATAATGTTCCATATGCTGATGAAAAAAAATGTATATTCTGTAGCTGTTGGATGAAATGTTCAGTAAATGTCTGCTGGGTCTCTTTGGTCTAATGTGCAGTATTTAAATCCAGTGTTTCTTTGTTAATTTTCTGTCTAGATGATCTGTCTAATGCTGAGATGGGGTGTTCAAGTCTCCAACTATTATTGTATTGGAGTCTATCTCTTCCTTTAGATCTAATAATATTTGCTTTATATATCTAGATGCTCCAGTGTTGGTTGCATACATGTTTAGAATTGGTATATCCTCTATATGAATTGATCCCTTCTTTGTCTGTTTTTACTGTTTTTGATTTTAAAGTCTGTTTTTATCTGATATAAGTATAGCTAGTCCTATTTGCTTTTCATTTCTCTTTGCATGGAATATCTTTTTCTGTACCTTTACATTCAGTCTAGATGTGTCTTTACAAGTGAAGTGGGTTTCTTGTAGGCAGTATATAGTTGGGTCATGGTTGGGTTTTTTTTTTTGTTTGTTTGTTTGTTGTTTTTTATTTAATCCATTCAGCCAGTCTATATCTTTTAAATGGAAAGTTTAATTCCTTTACATTCATGGTTATTGTTGATATGTGAGGGTTTATTTCTGTCATTTTATTAATTGATTTGTGGTTGTTTTGTATAACCTTAGTTCCTTTCTTCTTCTGTTATTGTTTATCATTGTGGTTTGGTGGTACTTTGTAGTGGTATATTTGAGTTTTTTCTCTTCCTTGTTTGCGTGTTTACTTTACCAGTGGCTTTTATATTTTCATATGTTTTCATGGTAGTTATTATTCTGTTGCTACCAAGGTATAGGACTTCCTTAAGCATTTCTTGTAGGTCTAATCTAGTTGTGATGAGTTCTCTCAGGTTTTGCTTGTCTGTGAAAGATTTTTTTTCTCCTTCATTTATGAAAGAAAACTTTGCTGGGTATAGTATCCAGTTCTTGTTGGGTTTTCCCCCCACACACTTTGAATATATCATCCCATTCTCTCTTGGCCTGTAAGGATTCTGCTGAGAAATCCACTGTTAGTCTGATGAGTTCCTTTATAAGTGACTAGACACTTTTCTCTTCCTGTTTTTAGAATTTTGTTTTTGTCTTTGACTTTTGACAGTTTGACTGTAATGTGCCATGGAAAAGACCTTTTTGAATTGTATCTATTAGGGAATCTTTGAGCCTCCTATATCTGGGTGTCTAAACTCTTGGTAGACTTGGGAAATTTTTGTCTATTATTTTGTTAAATAGGTTTTCTAATTCTTTTGTTTTCGCTTTGCTTTCTGGGACTTTGAAAATAAGCATATTTGGTCATTTTTGGTGTCCTACCTGTCACAAAGGGTTTACTCTGTTATGTTCATTTTTCTTTATTTTTGTGTGACTAGATTATTTTAAAAAAACCTATCCTCAAGTTCTGAAATTCTTTCTTCTGCTTGATTGAGCCTATTGTCGAAGCCTTCAGATATATTTTGTATTTTATTCAGTGACATCTTCAGTTCCTGAATTTCTGTTTGGTTCTTTTTTATGCTGTCTTGTTGGTAAATTTCTCATTGATGTCCTGGATAGTTTTTATAATTTCTTTGTATTGTTTTATAGAATACTCTTGTCTCTCACTGTGCTTTAGAATTGATAATTTGAATTCCAGAATTTTGTAAATATCTTTTTGATTGTGATTTGTTGCTGAAGAATTATTATGTTCATTTGGAGGTGTCATATTTCCTTGTTTTTTCATGTTTCCTGTGTCCTTACATTGATATTTGTGCATTATCTGTTATTAGAAATAAAATTTTCTTGCGAGAGGCTTAGCACAAAAACACTTTAATTATCAAAAATTATGGTATTCTGGAAATATCAAAATTGATCATGTTTATTATAGAAAAACAACCTGAAGATGACGGCTCTCAAGCCTTCATTTCAACACAGAATGGATCTCCCCGCCTGAACCGAGCAGACGTCCCAGCCAGGCCTGCTCCCCAGGAGGCCTATGATGTTGTCTTGCAACGAAAAGAAAATGAAGGATTTGGCTTTGTCATCCTCACCTCCAAAAGCAAACCACCTCCAGGAGGTAAGGGCTACTGTATCTTATCGTCTCTCCCTAAAAGTCCAGTTTTTTGAGCCTACTACAGGAGCTTATGAAACTAATTAGGAACTATGTATAATTTGTCTTAGAGACTTATCTTTTTAAGAATGGTGAATATTTTCCTTATTTTCAAAATTAGGTAATCTGAAGCAAACCTTCCAGGCTTCAAGTTTATCTATCATTTCAGATTCTATAAATAAGTCTCAGTAGCTCAGTTCGAGTCAAGGTTATATTGAGACAGTATAAGTATCAGGGACACAACTTAATGGATTTAATGAAAGATACAATGCTGAATTTTTTTAAATATGGGGGCATAGGTTTTTAAAATTAGAATAAATAATGTATGCAGAATTGAATTAAATACTAGAAGCAATGGAGAAAAAGCAAAACAGATTAATAGAAAAATCTTGACCCAAATATATCTTAAATGGTTATTTCATGTTATTTAATAATAATTGCCATATTCCAGCTATAAAGTACCCTTGTTGAATGATAAGATGCATTCCTATCTTTCATATATGTTTCATTGGAAGATAAAAGTTTTGTCAAACCTTTGAAAATTAATCTAAGTTTAACAGAATATGCTCATCTGAGAAGAATGAATATGTGTTTGTCTTGTCTTGATGTTCCTAAGAAATAATAATCTTTTAATATAATTATAAAACCCAATTGAATATAAGACAAGAACCAACAGATTGATATTTATGTATTATATTTATCTGATAACTTTATTTTTCTAAGTCCAATGATAAAAATCTTTTTTTTTTTTTTTTGAGTCTCACTCTCTTCTTGCCTGGGGCGAGTGCTGTGACGTCAGCCTAGCTCACAGCAACCTCAAACTCCTGGGCTCAAGCGATCCTACTGTCTCAGCCTCTCGAGTAGTTGGGACTACAGGCACGCACCACCATGCCTGGCTAATTTTTTCTACATATATTTTTAGCTGTCCAATTAATTTCTTTCCATTTTTTGGTAGAGACGGGGTCTCGCTCTTGCTCAGGCTGGTCTCGAACTCC